AAACCCGTTTTGAAAAACCGAGGTCCAAAAACGAAGTGTTCCCAAAAGTAAAAACCAAGTTTGAAAAACATTGTATATGGTATAAAATAGTGAAAACAAGACTTGTTTGGTAAAAACCAAGTCCTCAAGGTCGTAAATCACGTGCGTACGGTTTTGACCGTTTTTTACGTGTTAGACCGATTGACCAAGATACAAGAGTGGTTTTTATAAAATAATTAATCGGGAACCTTTAAAATATGCTCAGAGATAAAAACAGGGTTTAAAATATTGAAAACCACGGAGTTGGTTCGGGCGCCAAAAACCGAACGCCGAAAGCCGAAACGTTGCAAGCCGAAAGCCGACTTAGGTGGTTTTGGTTCTGAGCGAGGACCAGGGATTTTAACAATAAAGAGATTTATTTAAAATGTTTATTTTGATGCATAAAAACATTTTATGATTTTGTAAAATAATTTTGACTCTTTGAGAACCGAGACTTGAATTGATTATCGGTTTTGATCACAAAAGACCGACTCGATTAAGTCTTCAAATCTTGATCTTGTCCTTGAGTCTTTTAGGTCTTGTTTCAAGCCATTCATCACGCCTTGAGTTATTCAACGAAACTCTTCATATCCACGGCGGTTTGGCAATTATCAAAACCTGTCAGAAATGAACACGACTTTAGTTTAACGTACAAAGTGTGTTCCAACAATTTCCCCCTTTTTGATAATGGCAAACAAGACGGGGATATGCATAGGGTTTTGATCTTTTTGAAAAAAAAAAATTCCCCTTAAAAAAATTCCCCCTGAAAATGTGCATAGCCCTTATCTTCCCCCTTTTGACATTAACAAAAAGATTGTTAACAACAAAAATCATAAAGATTTTTATTAATTAATTAAGGGAAAAAGCGGAGTACATAGCGAAAGCATATTAAAAGATTATAAAATAAGGAAGAGAAGAAAGTAGAGATAGAGCTCTAGAAATCCGGGGAAAGATCATTGAGAAGTTGTTCTTCGTCAATGTCTTCTTCTTCTTCTTCTTCTTCTTCTTCATCACCATCGCCATCATCATCATCATCATCATCATCATCGTCCACCTCGTCTTCTCTTCTAACGTTTTGAGTCCCACTTTGTTCACCTCCGAAATTTGGTGGAGGAACGTAAGGGACCATTTGAGCGTACGGGTAATTGACAATGTCAAAATACCCGTGAAGTTCACGGCTCAAGGTATTGACGTTGTGCGCCGTTTTGGAGACGTTGGTGTCAATCCGAGAGAGAGTGGCGGTTAAGGCTGCCATTTGCTCGGCGAGAGAAGGATTGGTCGATGTGGCGGCGGCTGAGGCAGTGGCTCTCGGTTGGCGGCGTGGACGAGGCTGTCGAAACGGAGTCTCGTCGGTGCCCGAGTGGAAAGAAGACTCATCAATCTCCCAGTGCTTTGTCCCCTTTACCTTTGGCCCAACATCGGTTTTGATGTTGTATTCTTCAAGAATTGCCATGACAAGGAGGGCATAGGGGAGCGGCCGATTGTCGGAGGTGGCCGTGAACATGTGAGTCATCACAAATTTACACCAATTGAGATTGGCGTTGTGAATCATCGCATGGATCGTCTTCGTGTCTTCTTGGGAGAGATTGGTGTGGTTGAACTTCCTGGGCTTGAGGATCCGTGTCAACACATAGAAGATGAAACGATACACGGGACTCATGGAAGAAATCGTAGGGCGCCGCTGTTGGGGAGTGGGTACGAAGTGACGGATGCCCACTTCCTCCAAGAGAGCGGTCTCATTGAACCGCGCCCCCTCTTCTCCGGTGTAGAGCCCGAGATCCTGTCCGTCCCGACGAAGCCCGGTGAGGATTTGAATGTTCTCTTCATTCAAATAAATGTCCACCCCGTTGACGTTTGAAATCAACGATCCGTCCTCATCCTTTTTCAAGTTCGAATAGAAAGCTCGAACAAGAAAAGGTTGATAATTGACCTTCTTGATGTAGAGGAGATCGAGGAAGTTTCCTTGTTCAAGGATAACCCGTGCCTCACGTGGGATGGAGTCATGAATGAAGCGGGCGGTGGAGAATCGGGGAGGGAGAATTTCCCGATGCTCAAACTTCTCCGAGAACCTTGTAGCCTCTTCGCGGTCGTTGAACCAAAGAAACGACCCGTCAAGGTATTTGTGCGTTGATGGTGGAGGAGCCGAAGAAGAAGCAACGTTCTTGCCAGTGCGGGAACGCTTTCTTTGACCGCCTGCCATTGCAACAAGAGAGGAGAGAGAGATTGCAGAGATTTTTGAAGAGAAAAATGAAGAATAGGAGCAAGAATGATGAATTATGATGAATATATGGAGAAGAGATGATTGGAATGAGTAAAAATGAAGTAGATATCACCAATATATAGTGGAGGAGGTGTATTGATCCGTTTGGATGGTCAAACAAGGCATTAACTGCTCTCCAACGTCTCTGCAACGGTCAGATTTTTGAAAAATCTCCGTTGATAATCGATTATCATGACCTGTCAATCGATTATCAGATACCTCAGATTCTCCGCTGATGGTCCTGCAGTCTTCAATAGTCGATTGCCATGTCTGGTAAATCGATTGTTGGAGTTTGCGCCTAAGTTGCCTTAAACTTCTGCAGGCTCAGATAATCGATTATCTTAATGTGGATAATCGATTGTTTACTCCTTCAGCTTTTGTGCTCTAAACTTCTGCAGGCTGTGATAGTCGATTATCACAAGCCTGTAAATCGATTATCACTAGGTCTGAAGCAAGAATCGATTTACATGTTCCCCCTGCCTTTGACACCTGAAAAATAAAATTTAAAAGAAGCCCTGCAAAAAAGAATTAAGAACATCTCCGACGTTCAAGTTAGTAGGGATCAAAAAAAAATAATAATTTATGCACAATTTAGATCATCGTGGAGTCAAGGATTCCGAGTTCACTACGAATGCGAAAGAACGACTCTTTCTCTAAAGGTTTTGTGAAAATGTCGGCTAATTGGTTGTGTGTTTCAACGAACTCAATTTCGACATCACCTTTGAGAACATGATCTCTGATGAAATGATGCCTAATGTCAATATGTTTCGTCCTTGAGTGAAGAACTGGATTCTTCGTCAAGCTTATGGCACTAGTATTATCACATCGAAGAGGAACGTGATCGATACTAAGACCATAATCCACAAGTTGTTGCTTCATCCAAAGGATTTGAGCACAACAACTACCGGCGGCAACATATTTCGCTTCGGTTGTGGATAACGCAACACTGACTTGCTTCTTGCTAAACCATGAGACTAAAGAGCCACCAAGCAAGTGACAAGTCCCACTCGTACTCTTACGGTCTAATCTACAACCGGAAAAGTCCGAGTCGGAATAGCCAAAAAGATGACACGGAGACCCCTTGGGGTACCATAGTCCAATGTTCATTGGACAAGATTGATACCTTGCGCATAAACAAACGCTAAACATGATATCGGGTCTACTAGCGGTGAGATAAAGAAGGGATCCGATCATACCTCGATACTTCTTTACGTCTACTTCCTTACCCTTTTCATCTTTTTCCAAATGCTCGGAGGTGCTCATTGGTGTAGCCATTGCTTTGGAACCATCCATTTCAAATCTCTTTAGGAGCTCCTTGCAATACTTTGATTGACAAATGAAGGTTCCTTCCCTCATTTGTTTGACTTGTAAGCC